TTCTTTTGAGTTACAAAATTGTTACAATTCGACATTGGCCTCATATATCTATTATCTATTTTCAGGGTCACTGAAAGCTAGCTTTCTATGAACTTAAGCTGATAATTTATTTATTTATTTTGGTAAAGATGTATATTCTATTAGCAGTTTAGCTTGGGAGGTTTCTTGCATTTAAGCATTTTTTTTTTTTTTTTCTGTCTCCTTTCTATTTCATGCATATGAATTCGTTTAGCTTTTTCTCTCTTTTCCTGATCTGGTTTATATGAAAATTGTATGTAACATATCTATATTAATAGTATTATGAAATTAGTAGATGTTCTATATATACATGTGACTTCTCATAAAACAAAGGGATGAAGGAATTAGTGAGGATTACTCTCATATTCCCAACAATGGAAAAGTAATAACCAGGCAATAAAGTCCAATTCCAAGATAAAACGTTTTAATAATAATTCATTTACTTGGGGGAATTAAAGCATACACCTGCAGTAGCTCTGACAAGAATTTGAAGAAGAAAATAATAAAAAAAAAGGAACAGGAAATTGCCCGAAATTCTTGAAATTCATGAAGAGACACGTTAATAGTAATCGTGTTGGGAATAGCAAAGCCCTCTATCTTTCGTGGCGGTCTTATTTCTAGCTTCAGGCATGGTTATTTCTTAACTAGATTATTTTTTCATTAAATGACGCGTTTTGATTATTCTATTTCTTTTTATTTCTTAAATCTAGATTTTAAATATATATATATATAATTCGCGTGATATCCACACGATCAACTTTGATTTTTAAAATTATTTTCATTAAATATTTAAGATTTCAAAAGCTTTTAGGTGTTGTTTGTGAAGCTGCTTCATCTTGGTTGTGGGACCACCAAGCCTAACACTTAGTTATGGCTTCCTCCTCCAATTCAAATATTTGCAGTCCTAATCTTCTTCTCTTTTCAGATGCGATCCAGGATTTTCCACCATCTTCACAACGAAGTTGCAAGCTTAAGATCTTAGACATGTTAGCATTGTAGCTCATTATTTTTCAACCCAAATAATCACCGCCGTCTCATTCCAATATAGAATCAACACAAAAATAAAAATAAACTAAGCATCAAAAGAAATAAAAAAAAAATACCACTAAAAATCAATCGATAAATATCAGAAAATAATAAAGCTCATAAAAGATCTAAGTTAAGCGAAATGAATATAATTTGGAAATCCTAAGCCAAAGCAAAAGCTAATAAACTTCCTACAATTACTGTTTGGCGAGAATAACTCTATTAACTCTGTCGTCGTAAGCAAAGTTATCATTTGATAGCACTTAGCCTCACTCTACTTGCATTCCTTTTGATCTATTGATCATTCCTCAAGTTTTATGAATTTTTTGGTAATTTTTTCATAAAAAGTATAAAAATTTCTATAGGTTTTGATATTGTGTAACTTTTATTATTGCGTGTTTTTGTTTCTGTATCCATTAAAATTTGTTCTTGATCTATGATTTTTTTTTTAGTAAAATTGAAAAAGATTGACGTTAGAGAAATTCTTAATGAAGGCAAAAAAAAAAAAAAAAAAAAAAAAAAAGCAAAAAAAAAAAAAAAAACAAAAAAAAAATTAAAAAAAAAAAAAAAAAAAAAAAAAAAAATTAAAACACTTAATAATCGGCTGTGACAACACGGTAGTGGATGTGACTTGTAAATGCTCAGCTGATAGTTCTGGACTTTACAAGATTTTCAATGGAAGGAGACAAGGATTTATTTCTTTTTTTTTTTTTTTTTCATTCAATGTATTCTATCTCACGTACTTTTTATACCATGTACATCACGCGTGCTGATCCAAGATGAAAAAATGGGTTTATTAAGCCATTTTACTTAAATTGCTGGGTTATTTTTGACAAAAAAAAGTTGAGTTTTGCTCATTTTGAATATCAGGCCCAAATTCAGGGGCCAGATTGACCAATTTTCCAATTAATTTTGGATGAATTGCTCCTTCCATGCCAACCAGCTAAAATTAATCTTCAATAACAGTTCGCATCAGAATAATATATAAATTTCTACAATTTTCCTCTTTTTCATCTGATCTCTTTTTTCATTTCGTTCTCTTATCCTCTCTTAGAAAATAACCCTAGCCGCCAATCACCTATCAAAAGTTACGGCAAAAATATAATCACAACTTCTTCTTCTTCTTCTTCTTTTATGTAACCGAACCCTCCATCGCTATTCAAGCTCATTGCTACCCTTGTCTTTTGCCAGCCGCTTTCAAGCTTCACTATCCGCTGTACCTTTTTTAACAGTCCAGCAATCTGTTTTCTCCTTTGTGAATTTGGTGTTGAAAGGAGTCGAAGTGACCGCTCCGTCTCTCTCGGTCTCACCATTGGCCTTATCAGTCACCGGTGCCGTTGTCGCCAATTTCTATCGGTTAGTCTGGGTACTTCCTAGTCCAGATCTCATTTTTATTTTTTTATTTATTTATTTTTAAGTTCTGATGGAGAATTTGAAGAGTAGTCGTCTTGCATTTGCATATTTACTACTTCTTTTTTTTTTTAATTTCTGTCTGGAATTCAGGTAACTTAGTTTCTCAAATGGGTGTTTATGATTTATGATTTCACAAATAGTTAATTGCAAAGTTTTCTGTCTTATTATCGATCTACTGTTCTTTTTTTTTTTAAAAAAAAAAATTTATTTGCAATTTCCTTTTGGATTTCAGGACAGTTCCTCAGATGAAAATGGGTTCCATCTAGATAGGTTTTTGGATTAAAGAAGCGTATATGTACTTAAGAAATTTGGAAATGAGCTTGATTTTCAGGTTAAGAAATCATTTACCAAATGGCTTTTCTACAAAAAGCTTATTTTCGCCATTGGTCCCATTGAGTTTCATGAGCTTGAATGGGGTGTTGTGTCGAGGTTTTGCCCAATCTCTGAGAAAAGATGAGGATGAAGAAGAAGAGGTTGAAATTGATCAGAGGAGACTCCCGACTGATTATGATCCTGCAACTTTTGATCCCACGGAGCATCGTAGTCCACCAACTGAGCGTGTTTTCAGGCTTGTTGATGAAATTTCGGGGCTAACTTTGGTGGAAGTTGCTGAACTAAGTTCCATTATAATGAGAAAGAAAGGAATGACTGAATTGCCTGTTGTAGGGATTATGAAGGGTGGTGCTGCTGGATTGGCTGGAATGGCGGTGAAGGCATCAGCTGCTTCTGCCAAGGAAGAGAAGAAACCTGAGAAGACTGTTTTTGAATTGAAGTTGGAGTCATTTGAAGCTGCTTCAAAGATTAAGATAATCAAGGAGGTTCGGAGTTTTACTGATTTGGGTCTTAAGGAAGCCAAGGATTTAGTAGAGAAGACGCCATCAGTGCTGAAAACTGGAGTATCAAAGGAAGAAGGAGAGAAAATAATTGAGAAGATGAAAGCAGTTGGGGCCAAAGTTGTGATGGAATAAGCCTAAGCCATTTTTTTACATTAGGCACTTCAACATCTGCAATATTTATCAAGTTTCAGGTGAGGATTTTGCTGGCTGTTACTCTTACTGTGTTATCTGTATTGCCAAGAAGTTTTGTTGTTGAAATTGAGAAAAAGAAAAGTGGTATTATCAGTTTGTTGTTTAATTGCTCTAAGGGAGGAAAATCTTTTTTACTTTGATTTTTTTACTTATTGTTAAATGAGTCAAAGAAGGATAGTTAAGATCAGTCCAGAATATTGCATAAAACTTTGCTATGCTTCTGGTTTTAGAGATCTTCTATATGGAGATTCAACTAATAAAGAATAGTTTCTTTTCTTCATGTGCCTAAAAACAGTCCTTTTATTTCCATGTATCTGTTGTTCCACAAATTTGATTTTCACCATTTCTCCATCCTTGTACAACATAGGCACAACCCTTTGTGGTGATGATACAATGAGCAAGAGCATTTGGTCTTAGAATGCTTGGCATGTTTATGCGAATAATATAAATTTTTTTTATGCAATTATAAATTTACATTTGGGACCTTTTATTCGTTCATGTTTATGAATAGCAATTAGATGCAGTTATATGGAGACATATTCCCAAATGTACATCAATAACCTTTTGACATGTTAGTGCATTCATTTGTTTTAATACGAAGATTCTATCTGATGCAATTATTTTGTTGGGGAAGAGAGAGGACTGTTGGTGCTGTCTTTTGTGATTGCTTTGAAAGTTAAAGGTTCAACCTTTGGAGATTTTATTGAAATAAATTTGTATTTTCCAAAAAGTGTCCTTCTCTTGGGCTTGCTTTTTGGATGCATATGCTGGGGGTTAGCAATTTTTAGATTAAGTTTTAGTTAAAATGACCCAAATGACTAGAATTGACTCACCTAGCTCAGATGCTTGAATTAATAACCAATAAAAATATTGTTTTATTTAAAATAATAATTATTTATGATCATTTAGTGAGAAAAAAGGGTAATGGAAATAGTTTTAAAAAAATATGTATTTTGTTTAGTTTTGATTCATTGGTGAATCTATAAATTAAGTCTAGACAAGTCTAATTTCAAATATTCATTTTCTTGTTTGAATCTGATTAGGTTTAATTAGTCTTCATATTTTTTATAACAAAGCGGAGAATTGAGTTCTTTTGACTACATAGATAATTTTTACCATTAAATGATATAAGCATGCAATTTAAATTTATGAATTAAGTATTGCAATAGAGGCAAATATTCTATTATATTATTATCATTATTGCATCTTTTTTAGAAAAAAAAAAAATTAAATTCAATGTTACTTTTTTTTTTTTTTTTTTTTTTTTAACATTTTTTTTTTTTTTTTTAACAGTAGTAGTAAATATATAAATCAAGAAGTTCAAATGTAATACTAGAATACAATATGAATTATTTAAATAAATGTGTGTGTATATTATATAAAGTGAAGAATTTTTTTTATAGAGTCCTTTTGTATTAGGGGTTTGGATTTGAAATAAATAAATTAAAATATAAAATCATTTATAGATGAATTTTCTGTATATAAATAAATTCTCGTATATGAAATTATATACAAATCAAATCAAATCTGAAACTTTTATCCTTAATGTAATAACTTATTTCAAAAAGCAACATAAATGTACCTAGTAGTTATGATTAATATCTATTTTTTAAAAATTATAAAAAAATCCAATTGAGAGAACAGAGAAAAATACACAAAAGATGAAAAGATGGAAACATTAGAGAGAGAGAGAGAGAGAGAGAGAGAGAGAACATTGAAATACATAACTATTATTTATAAACATTTATGATTATGAATTATTATATTAAATTTGATATAACAAGAAATTGTACATATATTTATCAATTGTATGATTATTAAAATATTAGATATAATATGTGAGACAACTTTCAATTTATATATCACATTTATAATAATAATAAATATTTTTTAAATGATAAAATATGAAAATTGTTGTAGGTTATATGATATATCTAAAAAATTACTATTTCCATATCATTTTATGTGTCTTTTAAATTTTTTTTACTTAGTCCCAAATTATATTGTTTGACAATAATATTTTTTTTTCTTTTAAATATTAAAACAATTGACCTTCATATAGTTTTTATAAATATTTTCAACAATAATATCAGATAGATGGTTAAAGCTTAACTGTTGTTGGTAGCAATTGGTAGCTAGTGATTGATTAAAAGGTATTTGGTACCATAAATAGGCATTTCTTAATGACAATATCCGATAGTCAATGCTTGATGGTGAAGATAGTGATCAAATATTAATTAATTCTCATGAGTCGGAACTGAAATTAATATAATATAATCAAAAGTATTTCTAATGTAATTATGATTCATGAGACGCTAAAAATATTTTCACTTACATTATATTATGTCTCGTTACCAAGTGTAATGTAAACCTTGAAGTTTGAATTTAGAGGTGAAACTCTTAGACAATTAGATTTTTTAAACATGCAGATTTAGTTATGCATTGCTCACTCCGTCCAACGTTAATAACAACATTTTATCTTTTTATAAGAATTAAGAAAATGATTGAAACATATTGATTTTATAAAAATATATAGTAAAATAGCTAAATTGCGCTTTTTAAAATTAAAACTTTGTCATTCAATTTTACTATAAAATTAATGTAATTTTATCTTATATTAAAGCATCGCCATTAGAGTAGTACTCTTATTTCATACCTTGATATGATGAAAAGTTTTCAGTTACATGTGTAGTCAAAATTTTAATTTTACTACAAGTCAAAATTTTAATTTTACTACAATCAGAGTAATGATAAAAAGAAAAAAAAAATTTAAATATAAAAATAAATTACACCTAATAAATATAGATAAAATTAAAAAAATAATTATTAATATACAATATAGATTAAAATTTTAAAAAATAATTATTAATATACTAACGATGAAAACACTTTCAAAGTAAAATCCAATAATATATTATATATATATATATATATATATATTCTATATATATATATATAATATATAATATTTAAAAAAAATTTAAATAGCTGGACTTTGACATTTCTGTATTTCTATTTTTTTTTCTTTTTTTTTACAATTTTTTTTAATTTTTTAATCTCCATTTCTTTATTCATTTTTCTTTTTTTTCTTTAATTTTTTTTATTATATATATATAATTATATTTAAAATTTTAAATTTTAAATTATTAATTAAGAAAATTCTCTATCTTTTCCTTTAAATGCCAAACTCCATCTTCCTTTTTTCTATTTGTTAATGACTCTTTCCTTCGTTGAAGAATTTCTCTCTCTTGTCTACTCCACAAACCGTGAAAATATAAGAGGAGGCAAAAAAAAAAAAAAAAAAAAAAAAAAAAAAAGAAAAAAAATCCAACTTGAGGAAATAGTTTGTATTATTATGGGATAAAAAAAAAAAAAAAAAAAAAAAAAAAAAAAATCCAACTTGAGAATAGTTTGTATATTATGGATTTCTTTTTTCATTATCCTCGTCTATGTATATTCCAAACTGGCCTAGATTATGACATGATATTATTTTAGTGACATTAATTAATGAGAAGAAGAAAAATGAAGCCGTTACATTTGCCATGAATGAACTGATTCACATAAAAGGTGATCTTGAAGACAATTTAAAATTGGCCCTCTATTTGAAGGTATATTATATACAACATATGCTTATCCATTTGATTTTTAGTACTGTTGACAGTATAGCCTAAATTATGGGCTCAAAAATTTTTCCAAATTAAGGAGATTAATAATTTTGTCATCTTATGATTTATATATAAACTATAAATTATAAAGTAAAATATACAACAATGAATCAATCCGCGCAATACGCGAGCCCGCAACTAGTTTATTATAACTAGCTCATGTTATTGTCCCCTATGCCTAACCAATAATACTTTAATAAGAGGGGGGAAAGGAAAAGAAGAAAGACTTACATATAACTAGTTTCTTAAGTTTTATAAGCGTTCTCCTCGGATAGAACTTGTGCTTCCTGTGGTAAGAAGCATATGGGCATTTGTTGGAGGATTTCTTATTCATCTATGAGATGTGGATCCACGGAGCATATGATCAGAGACTGTTTGAGGACTACAATTGGGATTGGACATGAGATTTGCGTCTATAAATTCAAGTGCCAATAGTCCAATGCTCATTGGAACAACGATGACCTTCAAAATATTGGCGGTTGTTTATTGTTAAGAAGGGCAACAATTGAATCAAAATATAGTGTGCCTAGTATGACATTTTTGTTGTCAATCGCTCTTATTAACCTACTCGGTGCTCTCATCAATCAGTCATCAATAAGCTATAGGTGTAGTTCTTCTATAACCTTTTTGGTGGATTCTCATCCTTTTTAGATTTTCTACTTGTGAAATCTACTTGAAAGTTTTAAACTTCCTAAAACTTTTGAGAAATTCCTACATTATGTAGGTACTTATCTTCTTAAATTTTGTAAGCTTAAGCTTAGCTTATAGAAATTTGGATGTTGGCTTCTATTTTAGACTAATGGGTCGGAATGGTCACAGAATGGTGTCAAAGAGTTTGACTTTGGATTCATTATGTTGGTTACCTAGACCAATTTTTGCTGCTACATCAATTACTATTCTGATATTATATCCTTGCAATTTGAAGCTAGATGATCCCTTTTGTGTAAAATTTCATTCTTTATACTATGTTTGAATAGAGGATCATTTATTTGACCATCCACATGTCTATTAAGTTTTTGACACATGAAAATGGCATCATGTCTATGATTGTATTTGAAATATCTTCATAATATTTTTATGATAGAGACTTGGTAATCATATTCATATGACTAAATTTCTTGTAATTGGTCATGTGTCTATGTGTGTGTGTGTGTGTAACGTTTGTGCATGGCTTGCAAGGTTTGTATACTTTACACCATTATATTTGCAATTTGCTAACTAATCAATAGTAGAATGTTATACGGTCGAGCTAATTGCATGAGGTTGTTAATCTTAATGCTCTTTTTTTGTTGCATTTAATATGAATTGAATATTGTAATTAGCATAGTGATGTTGTATGCTCATATTACCATTTATAGTTTACCATATGGTGGTCAGCACAAGAATTTCTCCAAAAGAGGAATATTTCAATTAATAAATGGAAAAGAAGTCTAATTGATGCAACTTGTCATATATATTAAATGGAAAGAAGTCTTAATTGATTGCAACTTGTCATATATAATATATATATCTATATAATATTATATAATATATATTATATAATAATATATATATATATATATCTTTATATTATAATTTATAATATAATATAAATACTATAAATACTTCTTAAAGTGCTGTTATAAAAAGCTTGCAGAAACAT